AAAACTTTTGCCAGGTGTAGTAGTGCATGCCTGTAATCCTAGCACTCAGAGGCTGAGGCAGGAGGATCGATGTAAATTCAAAGCCAGCCTGGGCTATAAAGTGAGTTTAAGGCCAGCCTGAACTACATAGCAAGACCCTGTCTCAAAAAGACACGAAACAAAAAAACACTTTGGGGAGGTGCTGGAATTTGAACTCAAGACCTTCACACTGAGCTACATCCCCACCTCTTTTCATTTTTTAATTTTGAGACAGCGTCTCCTTAAGCCTCTGTATTGCCCAGGTTGGGCCTGAATTTGCAGTCTTCTGTCTTAGCTCCCAGAGTGCTGGAATTACAGGCATAGGCCACCATCCCGGCTTCCACTTTATAGATCAGTATAAGGAAGCACGAAGAGAATAAGATTTCTAGCCAGGCATGGTGGCGCATGCCTGTAATCCCAGCACTCAGGAGGCTGAGGCAGGAGGATTGTTGCGAGTTTGAGGCCAGCCTGGCCTACAAAGTGAGCTCAAGGTCAGCCTGAACTGCATAGCGAGACCGTCTCAAAAAGACAAAAAAAAGAAAAGGAAAAAGAGAATAAGGCTTCTTAGCCTCTTGTGAGGACTACCTGAAGTAACCAGTATTACTTATCACTCTCAATTCCGGCTCAAACCATGTCCATGTTTTCCTCCTGGCCTCACAGCCCTGTCCTGAGGCTCATTCACATTCCTATTTGTCCCACCTTTCCCCACGGGCCTGCAGAGTCCAGCCTGGTGATCTTCCATTGGGCTCCTGCCCTGGCTGCCTCCTGGGCTCCTCACTTCCATCCTCACCAGCCCCCGAATCCGCCCACCCCACCCCATACCTGGTAGCCAAAGAAATCTTTATTACCTGGCACTTAAACCTCCTTGGGTCCCATGGCTCCCTTTTCCTCTTAGGACAAAACCCAAATCCCTGCCAAGGTCTATCACACCCTGAGAAGTCCAGCCCCTGGGAATTTTTGGGGACTTAGACTATGTGCTATCTTCCAAGCCCAGCCACTCTGGGCCAAGGAGCCAGCCACCCAGCCAGGGCATTCTGAGGTCCACAGGGGCATGGAAGAACCAAATCTCACCTCATCTTTAGCCTGCAGCAAAAACTCACTGCCATCCTGGGTCCTACAGAAAGGGACACGGGATTAGAGGGATCCCAAGGCACCCAGTACCCTCTTACTCCCACCAAATGTTCTCCAAGGCAACCAGGGTCCTTCTGAAGCCAGGAAGCCGGGCTTTGGATCCCTCCCTCCTGCCCATCAGGGGCTCACTGGAGCTTGAAGACATGTTTCTTCTTCTTGTAGTCACTAGCCACCTCGCTCGTGGCCTTGTGCAAGCTGAGCAGTGGCTCCCCGCCATGGGTGCCCCCGGATGCCGGGCCTTTGGCATCCTTGTAGAAGCCCAGCTCCCCTTTGCTGAGTACGCAGTACAGGCTCACCCACGACCTGGAGTGAGGAGAGGGGGCGCAAGGCGGAGCTGCAGCATGCTGCCTTGGTAACTCTTTGACATTCATGGTCTAAGTGTGCTGCCCGTGACCTCCTTTGGGCCTCTGCGCTAGCTCACTAGGACATATGCCGGTGAGCTCTTCCTTACGGATGTTCCTGAGCTGAGAGGAACGTCTCAGGCTCCCAGTCCCAAGTCTTTGCCCAGGCTGGCCCTGCTGGGCTTGCCCTTCCTTATCCTCTCCCATACTGCATTCCTGAAGACAAGACTTCAACTGTCTCCTCCATAAGCCTTTGTTCCTCTGGATCTTTTCTATTCTTTTACCCCGCCCCTCGTTCCTCCACCCTTCACTGAGTTCCTTGAAGGAAGATCTGTTTAGAATGAGGAATTCCTGTCTCCCCATGGAGCTAAACCCCAAATCCCAGAGGAAGTCCCACAGGAGCAAAATACGGCACATCAGGTGCCCTTCTTCGTTCCCACCTTGGCCAGGGACAAGGAAGAAAGACGCCATCCACATCCACCAGTAAAGCCTGCACCTGCCCTGCCTGCTGCCTTGCGTTCAGGCCTCACTCACTCCCTGGGCAGTGCTATCCTTCTTGGCCCCAGCTGTCCCCAACTGGACAAGAAAGTCCTCGTCAACCAGAAAGTGGTACACACACAAAAAATCCCAGCTAGATCCTGATCTGGAAATCTTTTTTTTTTTTTTTTTTTTTTTTTTTTTTTTTTTTTTTTTTTTTTTTTTTTTTTTTTTTTTTTTTTCTCTGGTACCAGGAACCGAACTCACGACCTTGCGCTTGCCAGGCAGGGGCTTTGCCGCTGAGCTAAATCCCCAGCCCTGGAAATCTTTTTGAGACCCTCCCCCCCATTCCACTCAGCGCTCAGAATTTGGGCTCCGCCCCTTTTCCCAACCTTTCCCTGTTTCAAACGTCAAGGGTAGCCCCCCTCATTGGCTGGAGGGCGGCTCCAGCCCGCACATGCCACTGAAACCCTCTAGACTCGACTCCATCCCCAGCTTGCGCCTTAGGTGTGGTCAACTTCTGGGTTGGTTGCTATGAGACTGGGTCCCAACTTAATTCACTTTCACATTTTTTTTTCACTTTTTTTTTTTTCACTTTCACATCTTAGCCCGCTTCCAACCTAGAGCAGTCCCCTCAGCTATTGAACACCCGAACACTAGGCCACGCCCCTTACTCCCTCCCCCCTGCCGGTTGGAAGTACTGAAGTTGAGCCCCACCCCCTTGGCCCAACTCTTCACTCATTGAAAGCCCGGATTTAGTCCCCACCTTCCAAAGCCCCGCCCACACGCTCACCGGTTGGATGACTTGCGGTTAGCGTCGAGCTCGCGCTTGCGTAGCAGGAAGCCCTCGTGCTGCACTGTGTGAGTGGGCGGTGGCGGTGGCGCAGGGGCGGAGCCGCCCTGGGCGGGGGCGGAGCGCGAACGCCGGCTTCCCCCGCCCTCACCACCCTCTCGGGGCCGCGGCCGCCGGCGCGGCTTGGGCCTGTCCCGCGCCCGCGGCCGATCTGGCCGTGGTGTCCGCTCCGGCGGCTCAAGCCCGTTGGGCAGACGGCCAGGGGGAAGCTCCCGAGGCTGAGGCAGCGACGACTGTGTGAGGGAGGGGGAAGGAAGGGGCAGGATCTATAGAGGTGGGGTGCAAGGAATTCCCGCAGCAGGAATCTGGGGCTGCCTTCTGTGTGTACAGGGCTGTCTACGTGGAAACTTGCGATCCCCCTGGGCTAGAGACACAGGGAGCCCAGGACACACGTAGGAAGAGTTTAAGAATCTGTATGTGTGTGTGGGATGTCTTAGGTCAGTGGCTCCATTTTTCTAAGGGAGAAATTTTCAGGTCCCAGATTAGGGGAGCAGACCCAGCGCTAGGCACTGGTTGTTTTCTGAGATCCTGACTCCTGCTCTGAGAGGGGTCTTGATACCCCCACCCATTTTGTGGCTCAACTTACCACCCCAGCAGGGAGCCCTGGGCCTGCCTCTTTCTCCTGCAGCTGCTCCACAATGTCAGCCAGGGTGGCCTTCCTGGGGCAGGGGGGACAGAAAGAGCCAATGGAACTGGAATGCCTTCTCCCAGGGCCCTGCCTGTCCGTAGGGCCTCCTCCACCTCTGATCGTGAAATGTGAGGTCCATTTCTCCGTTGTCTTGCGCACCATGGGTGCTCCAGACACTGCTGCTGAATTGCAGGACAAAATCTCTACCCCATTCACTTTTCATTTCTGTACTGAGGATGAACCCAGTGCTTTCCCACTGAGCTGCATCCCCAGCCCTTTATATTTTTTGAGATAAGTTCTCACAGTCACTAAATTGTCCACTGGGCACCAACTTGCAATCCTCCTGCCTCAGCCTCCCAAATTGCTGGGATTACAGGCATGAGCCAACACACCTGGCTCCTCTCCCATGTGAGTCTTCAGCAGCACAAAGCAAAAGGCAAACTGGCACCTTCCAGCCTTTGAACACGCCATTGCCTTTCTCAAACACCCACTCCCTGGACTTCCCCCATCCTAGCCCTGCTCATTCTGGGTCTTCACTGTCTGGCGATGCATATGTTTTAACCTTCTGGGATGTGGGCCTCGCAGAAGGCAGGGCTGGGACTCATTGGTCACTACCCTCCCCAGCACCTGCCAGGCAGCGTGGGCACTCAGCACATGTTCACGGAAGAGGAAGCTTCAAAAGGACCAAGAAGCCATTGTTTTCTGTCTTTTCTGGGGACAGAGCCAGGTGGACTGATCACCGGCACTGGTTAACGCTGGGTTCAGAGTGCCTGGGCGCTGGTCCTAGTTTATCCGAGCCACACTGAAGGTCACAACAGCCCCCATTCCATTACGCCGTGGAGACGTAACAAAGGGTCCTCCACCCAATCACGGAGGTGCTGTTTCTCCCAGGAGTCCAGGGGAGAAAACGTCTTGCAAAGCACATAAAATCCCTGCCCACACCCCCAGCCTGGGGAATTCAGTACAGGAGTCTGCGCTTACTGGCTGAGAAACTCCCCTTGAAGGCCTTTTCGTTCAAGAAGATCTGGCCCCGTGGAACACTGGCACATCTACCCGAGGCCTCGGTTTACACCTCCGGAAAATGGGTCCCACCACGCTCTCTGGCCCTGTCACGGAGCCTACCCTTCTAGGAGCACTCGCTTCCCTCTCCTTCCCTCCCTCCCTGCTCCCACCTGGCCTCACCCCTTGGTCAGGTCTCCTCTGGCCGGTGTCTCCTGCTCGCTAGACTCCTGCCGCTCCAACCGCCGCTCCCGCCGCTCCCGCCGCCGCTCCATCTGCTCGTAGCGGCCCAGCGTGAGGCTGTGCGCCGCCTCGTGCTCCGCCGACTCCTGGCGCTCGGGCCGCCGCCTCCGTGCAGTCTCCTCGGGTTGATCGGCAGACTCCTGGCGCTCCGTCCGCCGCCTCCGGGGCAGCTCCTCCGCGCGATCAGCCGACTCCTGGCGCTCCGGCCGGGTCCTGACCTGCTCCGCAGGCGCCGCCGCCACAGGGGTCCCGGGGGTCTCCGCCGCGTCCTCCGGTGCAGCCGGTGCAGCCGGCGGGGCCACCAGCTCGGCTCTGCCCGGGACCTCGGGCAGCCGGTCGATGCGCGGCTGCAGGCGCTCGGGTTTGAGCTCCTGGCGCACGTACCCCACCCGGGTCCGCACCTCGGCCGACAGCGTGTCCGAGGCCCGGCGGGCCAAGGGCTCCAAGCCCCGCTCGTAGCCCCCTGGCCGCAGCAGGGGCGCCGCCTTGGCTGCCAGTTCCGTGGGGTCCCCGAAGAACTTGCGCCCCAGCAGCGGGGTGGGTGGCTGCTTGCTCTGTTCCGCCTTGAGCTTCTCAATCTGGGGACCGAGGGACCCGGGTCAGACTGGAGGGCGGGGCGGGCTTAGAAAGCCGGCGAGGCAGGCACATTGGGTTTCTGCTTCCCCTCTCAACTTACTGGTCCCTTGAAGTTCTTTGAGGTGGCCTGGCTGTTCAAGCCCCTGCCCTACTGCATGGCGTGCCAAGAGCTGAATTCCTACTAACATCTATTGCTTTTGTAAAAATGGGCTAAATCAGCACTTTCTGTGGGGACTGTGACCCCTCCTTCCTCCTTCCTAGTGTTCTCCCACCCAGGACAGCAGGACTTTAAAATTTATCACAATGGCCTCATTCGTCATCTCATTCTTCAAGGCTCACCCGGGACTCGCGGCAGCCAGGATGAGTATTTCTAGGCTCCCACAGCACAGCCTCCTCTGCCTCCCTGGCTGCAGCCCTCATCCCTCTGCTCTTCCCTAGCACATTCCCAGCCTCTCTGGACCGTCACTGGTGACTGATCTATCTCAGCTCCGCTGCCAGCCCAGACAGAGTAGGCGCATGGGGGCACGAACTCCAGGCGTGCCTGGCCCACACAGAGGGTTGTGTGCGGGGGCTGTGGGATGCCAAGAGCGCAGGATCTGGGATGCTGACCGTGGTCAGGCGCCGCAGGGAGCTGAACCTTTCTTCCCAGGCTGCAGCTGCTTTTCGGAAGGCCTCGTGTCGCCGGATGAGCTGCTCCACCTCGTCCACGCTGCTGCCCAGCTCCCGGCTCTGCAGGAGCGGCTCCTGGGCTGTCAGCCAGGCGTCCGCCACGACGGCCTCCTGGGCAAACTGGTGCACCTCCAGCACTGAGGGCCGGGGGGCACACAGGGTCAGGGTACCAGGAGCACCTGGGGACTCTACCTGCCTTCTCTGGCCTTCCACACCCCTCTGGCTTTCCCTGTCCCAGCCCTGACCACTCCGGGCCCCGGAGGAGTGACAGGACCGGGGGCTATTTCTGCAGGTACCAGTTTCTCACTCAGGTGTCTCCCATATGGGTTCACAGGTAAGGCAGCCCACTGCCCACCCTCCTAGCCCTTGTGTTTGCTTTTCAGGACCCATGGGTAGTGTGCAAAACACACTCATGTCATCCTCCAGGCTGGTGCATGTCCCCGGGTCCCTGAGCCATGTGTGCAAGCCCACACTCACTCTGCTGCAGCCACTCCCAATGGCGGTCCCACTTGTCCGACACTTCCTCCTTCCTGGTTGCCAGTTTGTCCAGCTGTGCCTGGATCTGGGTGTGGTGGGTAGGTGGGAGGGGCATCAGGGATGGCTCTGCCCAGTGTGCTGGTGGGGAGGGGAGAGGGGACCCCCTGTGCCCCTCCCCACCTCGTCAGCCATGGCGCTCTTGTTGAGCAGCAGAGAGCGTCCCAGCTCCTGGCAGGCAGTCAGCTCAGGCACCCTTGCCTCCAGCTCGGTCTTCAGGCCCTGGTGATAGTTCATGAGCACCTCCACTGACGACACGTCCCTGCAGGGGGGTAGGCAGCCATCTGAGCCACAGTCAGCCACCCTTGTCCCTCGCTGTAGATGTGCCTCCCATGAGCCCAGATCCTGGAGGCTGTTCCGGAGCATCTCAGGACATCTGCCTCCTGGCGAAGTTCTAAGGGCCCCAGGGTCTTTACTAATTCATTAATTCCAGTGTACCCAGGTACCACAATTTCACCCTTTTGTTGTGAGAATCCTAGGAGGATTTTGAGGTCCGGCTTTCTAATTACCTATAGCTATAGATCTAGCCAATGATTCTAACCTCGAAAGTCTGTGCTGTAGACACACATGGCCACTGAACACCTCAAATGTGGTTGGCTTGAATGGCCATGTGTTAAGTGCCAAGTGCATGCTACTCTATAAGAATTTAGTACACAAGAAAATGTAAAATATTTTAATTTCTTTCCTTTTTTTTTGGTCTTTTTGAGACAGGGTCTTGCTATGCAGTTCAGGCTGGCCTTGAACTCACTTTGTAGCTCAGGCTACAATCAAACTCACAACAATCTTCCTGCCTCAGCCTCCCCAGTGCTGGGATTACAGGCTTGCACCACTACACCCGGCTTTTCTTTGTTTTTTAAGACAGGGTCTTAGCATGTAGTTCATGCTGGTCTTGAATTCACTATGTAGCCAATGGTGGCCTCAAACATTCAGTGATCCTCTGCCTCAGCCTCCTGCGTGCTGAGATTACAGGTATGCGCCACCACGCCCAGCAAGTATTTCAATATTGACTAAATATTGAAATCATAGTATCTTGGTTATGTTGGGTTAAATAAAAGATGTTGCTAAAATTCATTTTCACTGGCTTGTTTTTAATGTGGTTACAAGAAAATTTTAAATTATATATGTAGCTCACATTTGTGGTTTAAATTATGTAACTGTTAGACAGTGCTGGACTAAACCATATGACCACAACGAATTCCACGGGGCGCTGTAAGCAGCTGGCAAGGACAGAAGGCAGGAGGTTGCTCTATGCTCTCAGCCCCCAGCGCCAGGCCTGAAAGAGGTCTTAGCACGTGGAAGCATCTAAACAGTGCCACACACACAGAGCTGTGGCGCAGGGACGGCTATTGTGGTCTCCTATGGGAAGGGGACAGCTGGTGAGCCAGAAGCAGCTGGGGAGGGCTGCCAGGCAGTCCGGAGTGGGATGGGAGGCACCTGGGCTTGTCGGCTGCCCCGATCTGGCCTGCGATGCCATCCATCCAGGAGAGCAGATCTCGGGCCTGGCTGTGGAAGCGTAGGGCATCGGCCGTGGAGCTGACATGCAGGCGGGCGTCCTCGCAGGCTGCCAGCAGTTCCTTCCAGCCCTGCAGCACCTCCTGCTCCCGGCTGGCGATGGCCTCAGCGTGCTCACCCGCATACACGGTCCGCAGCTGGGCCGCCCCCTCCTGCAGCTGCCGGACCTGAGGGGCATGGCAGATCGGGCACTGCCCTCCACCAGGCCCAAGCTCCACCCCCCCGCCCCCGTCTGTTCCCTGAGTGCAGAGCTACAAGATGCCAGGAGCCCGAGCCCTGCAGTCCCACCACCCAGCTTCCCCAAATGCACTGCCTGGTTTCTCTTGGCTTCCCTTTCTGCCTTCTTGTAGACGCACTGCCACATTTCTTTCATGTTTGCTCTCTGATTCTACCTTTTTTAATCGTCACTTTCAGTATTGGAGATTGAATCCTGGGCCTTGCGGAACCACTGAGCTGCATTGACCACTGAGCTGCATCCCCAGCCCTTTTTGTTTTCTTGCTTTGTTTTTTGTCTTTTTGAGATAGGGTCTCGCTATGCAGTTCAGGTTGGCCTCGAACTCACTTTGTAGCCCAAGCTGGCCTCGAACTCACAGCAATCCTCCTGCCTCAGCCTCCTGAGTGCTGGGATCACAGGCGTGCGCCACCACACCTGGCTATATCCTTTTTGTTTTCTTTACAGACAAGGTTCTGTTACATTTGCCAGACTGGCCTTGTAACTTTGATTCTCTTGCCTCAGCCTCCCAAGTGGCTGGGATTACAGGCAGGTGCCATTGTACCTGGCTCCCTGATTCTTGTTTGACTTGCCTACATTCTGACTTCTTTTAGATCCACCACTAGATCTGCCTACCTCAGCCTCCAGGAGTGCTGGGATTACAGGCATGCGCCACCATGTTCAGCTTCTACCCTATTTCTACAGGTTCTGCTGCTCAAGTGCTGCTTATCTTTTTGGTTCAATCATCTGATTTCTTCCAGAGTGACCCTCTTGCCATTCCCATCAGGTCTACTACTTACTTACTAGATGCTAGTCTCTCAGCCTGATTCCTAACAGTCCCCCGTGTGATTTATACAAATAACCGTCCAATTTCTACTTCCCATTGCTCCAGCAACCCAGTTCCCCGTCAGTCCAGCTGCTTGAATTCACAGTTTCCTTTCCACCCAATTTCTCAGATCTACCTCCAAGTCCTGACAGACCTTCTGCCTAATTTCTGTTAGCTCTGTGGCCTTTTCCAGTCAATCTTAGCCCCGCTGTCTACCTCACAACCAAATTCCTCTTCGCCCCTTGCATTTCCATTTAGATCCCCCATCGGGATTTACCATGCTGGAGTTACATCCATTTGGAACCATTGCCCAGTCTCTATTGAAACCCTCACATTCACCGCTGTCGGGCCTACCGTGCCCATGTTTCCCGTCACTGCTTGACTCCTGAGCACCATGCAGTCAGTCTGTTTTCTATCTGTCCTATCACCCAATTTTTTTCCTGTATGGGCTGCTTCTGTCCGTCCCACGGTCTAATTTCAGCCTGTTCCACAACCTGATTTCTGATTGCTCTGACGCCCAGGCCCTTCCATCCAGCCGTCTGGCTGCGGGTGCCCCACCTGGGACACGAGGAGCTGCAGGTCATGCTCAAAGGCTCGCAGGGTACGCTGCATGGAGCTGGCACTGGGTCTCGGCTCGGGTGGAGCGGTGAGGCGGGGCAGCCTCCTCCGCTTCTCCTCAATCTGTCCTTGAAGCTCCCGGGCATCGCTGAAGAATTTATGCAGCTCCCGAGAGGCGGCCAGCAGCTGGGCCCGTGTGCCCATGAGCTCCAGCAGCTCGGCCCATGCCTCGTTCAGCCCGTCCTTCCACTCGGCCATGGTGGCCGCTGCCGTATGGCCACACTCGATCAGCTCATCCACCATCTGGTTCACGGCCGCCAGCCGCTCGCGCCCTGCTGTGCCTGTCTCGCTGGCGAACTCTGAGAATTTCTCCTGCAACACCTGCCACCAGGATGTGGGGGGCGCCAAAAGGTGGGCAAAGGTGCTGCCTGCACCGGCCCCCTCCAACCTGATACCCGGTGGCAAATATGAGTCATAATAATAAGCATCATATGCTAAAAATAACACAGTATCTAACAACGAGCGTTTATTCTAGCAATAATAGAAACAATGATGAAACACTACGATACAGTATTCATAACGAACACTGTACTAGACACTGTATATAACACCCATGGCTCTAACTGCTTTTGTGTGTGTGTGTGTGTGTGTGTGTGCTGGGAATTGAACTCAGGACCTTGCACTTGCCAGGCAGGTAGTGTGCTGCTGAGCTATATCCCCGGCCCTCTAACTGCTTTAGGTTATATTAGTTTGCCTCATAACAGAGGCAAGAAGTGAATGATATCATTACCGCTATACTTTTTTTTTTTTTTTTTGTCTTTTTGAGACAGGGTCTCACCATGCAGTTCAGGCTGGCCTTGAGCTCACTTTGTAGCCCAGGCTGGCCTCAAATTCACAGCAATCTTCCTGCCTCAGCCTCCCAAGTGCTGAGATTACAGGCATGCGCCACCATGCCCGGCAATTATCTCTATTCTACAGATGTGGAAACTGAGGCCCAGGGAACCTTAGCCTACACAGTGGCTACTCACTGTTATTCCTAAACGTGCTCACCGAGACATGCTCAAAGTCCTGGCCCAGCTCAGGCGAGCCGGCCACCACCTCCTTCTCCGCAATCCAGTGCTCCAGCTCATCCACCTGGCGGCTGAGCTGGTACAGCCAGTACTGCTGCTCCAGGCCCACCCTGCGTTCCTCACCCAGCTCCTTGAGCGCCACGTACAGACGGTCCACCTGAGACTGCCGCCGGCTGATCTGCTCGCTGGTGGGGACAGAAGGGGCAAGGAGAGCCCCTGAGACTTCTGGGGCTTCCCTGCAGCCCCCAACCCCAACCCTCCCAAGGCAGGACCCTGTTTGCCCTGAATCTTGAGGCGAGGCCACGCCCCCAAATACTCCCTTGGGCAAGACTGTTTCCTGTAAGTCTTGGGGCCAGTCGGCCCCGTACCTGGATCTCGGCACTCGTGGGAAAGCTCAGCACCCACAGCATCATAAGCTCTGCCCAAGCCTCACCTGGTTTCTTCCGCTGTTTTTGCTTTCCACCCAGTGTCTAGCTTCCCTCCCTCGCCCTCCCCATCTAGTGACCCGGGCAGGGACGGAGGGCTCCCGCCTTCAGTGCCCGGTCGATCTGTCAGTCGATCTGTCGCGCCTCTGGCCCCACTCGGCCATGGGTCTTGCTCTGTGCCCTCTCTCGGATCCCGGCCCTGCGCCAGGTCTCCCAGCGGGCTCGGTTAGGGTGACGTCACCCGCCACCTCGGGACACAGCGGGAGGACTCGGTCCCGCTCCACACCTGATCTCAGCACTTCTCTGACCTCTCAAACACCGCGCAGACACTGGGTAGGGAGAGGATCTTTGCCTGTCCTGGCCACCACGCTCTCGCGCAGTCCTGGACACCCTGCCCTCTCCCTTGTTGCCCTACGAGGCCCAGCACAACACTCAACTCCCAGTGCTCTAGGCAGCTTCATTCCGCTCCAGCACGCAGCAACGGAGGGCCCCTCCCGCCTCAGAGTTCAGTTCCCGAACCGTGACCCAGTTCCCAGGGCAGAGCTCGCGAGGCCGCCAGACCCCGCCCTACGGACTGGCCCCGCCCCATCTGGCCCCGCCCCGCCCGCCCACCTGTCGGGGTGCCCCATCTCCAGCAGCGCCCGGCACTGGCGCGACAGCTGCGCGATGCTTTCCTCGTAGTTCTCCACGCCCTGCTCCAGCTGCAGGTGCTTCTTGAGCAGCTGCAGGGTGCTCTGTTCATCCTGGGGGCACAGGGCGCCCGCGATGAGGCGGCAGCGGCCGGCCCCCGACTCCAGCGCCCCCAGGCCCCCCGCACCCCCAGCCCGGGCGCACCTTGCCCTTGTCCTCACTCATCATGAGCAGCTCCTGCTCGCCCAGCCACGCCTCCACCTCAGCCACGTCGAAGTAGTACTGCTCCACCTGGAAGGCGGCGTCCAGGGACTGCTGCCGCCGCTCCGCCGCCTCCCGCAGTCCGGCCCAGGCGCTCTGCAGCTGCTCCAGGCCGCGGCGCACGGCCTCCGCCTCGGGGCTGCGCAGCGATGCCAGCGCGCTCGCGCGCTCCAGCACCTCCTCCAGGCGCGGCCCGTGCGCCTGGATCTCGCGCCGCAAACCCTGAGGAGGGAGGGCGCGGAGGACAGGGGCGATCACAGATCTCGTCCGGCCGTGCGCCCGGCCACTGCCACGACCCCTGGAGCTCGCGACAAACGCCCTCACCACGTGGCAGGTGCTATGCAACTATCTCCCCGTCACTCACTCCTGCCCCCGTATCCCTGTGGGAAAACAGACAGAGATTGGGACCTTGCGCACGTACAAAGAGCTAGCAAAACGGGACAGGATTTGAACCCAGGAGGCTGACTCCAGTTGTTTAGAGACACCAGACAGCAGCCAGTGGTTGGGATGCAGGCCCGAGGATGGGGCTCCTTAGCAACTGTGGTACTCAGCTCCCCCGGCTGTGGGCTGTGCGTGGGTGGTTCCAACCCCCCGAGACAGAACCTACTGGGAAGCAATAGGTGTCCATTCTGATCAGGCACAGACCTTGTTCCTTTCCTTGGCATATTCCCTAAACCATACAGAATACCAACTATTTACACAGCATTTCCGTTGGACTCGGTATTGTAAGTTCCCTAGAGATGGTCTGACATACAGAGGAAGGTGTGTGTCGACTGCTTACCCCATTTACTAGGACACTGATTATGTGCAGGTGTTGGTGTCTGCAGGGGTGGGAGGCTATGAACCAGGGATCCTAAGCGATGACTGTAAAGTGTGCAAATCATAGTTTTACACACACATACCCTGGTGTTCTCAGATCAAAAGGCAGGAACACTCCCGTGTCCCAGAAGGCTCCCTCAACCAGATCATTACTTACCTGAGGACCTCATCTAACTTCGCCTGTACCTCAGTTTCCTCAATCAGAAAATGGAAAATTATATCCAGAAACACTTCCTGAGTGCCCGCTCCCTGCCAGCTGCCTTGGTAGGGAAGGGCTTCACATAATGCAGACAGAGTTATCCCTCGGCCCAACCCCTAGAGTGGGACCGCATGATCATTCTCATTTTACAGACCAGGAAACTGAGGTGCAGAGACTTGCTAAGGTCAGGTGACTGGTGGTGGCCTGCAGATGCCTACCTTGTTGCCATGTGATACATCTTGGAACAGTTAGAATTGGGCCAGGCATGTTGGCATCTGCTTGTAATGCCAGCTACTCCGGAGGCTGAGGCAGGAGGATTGGAAGTCTGAACCATGCTCAAGGCCCTGAGTTCAATCACCAGGACCCCTTAAAAGTGGGGAGATGGCAATACCTACCTAGCCAAGGATAGAGTTCAGTGGCACAGCGCCTGCCTTGGCAAAGCGCAAGGTCGTGAATTCGATTCCCGGTACCAAAAAAAACCCCAAAACAAAACAAAACAAAAAAAACTACCTAATAGGGTTACTGATGGGATTGTATAATCAATATAACCCTAGAATAGTATATAAGTACATGATAAGTGTTTAATCAATACATTATTATTATTATTATTATTATTCCTCTTTCATGTGTCTTTGGGCTTTAGTGAAAGAATTCCTTTAACCAAAGGGTTCCTCTGATATAGAATCTGAGAACCATTGCTCTAGACCAACTCTCTTCTTGTTTGGATGTGGTACCTGGGGCCCAGAGAGAATAGAGGTCGAGATTTTAGGGGCTCAAATGCCCCCTCCCCCACCTTGCCTGGCTTAGAGGTGAGAATCTGCTCGCTGATGATCTTCTTTTCTCTAAAAGTGTTTTTGTTTGTTTGTTTTGGTTTGTGTGTTTGTTTTTCGGTTGTTTTAAGTTCCCCAGATTGGCCTCAAACTTGTAACCCTCCTGCTTCAGCCTCCCAAGTAGTTAGCATTACAGGCCCTAAGGGTGCTTTAAGGTTTTGTTTGTTGTTCTTTTTGTTGCCCCATAGCATTCACCTTACTTACAGTCTCAGGACCCTGACTGTTCTCTGGGGAGTTCCCTGCCTCTGTCTCAGTACAAGCAATTATGTTCCCTGCAACTCCAGCTGCAGGTCCCAGGGGAGGTCCCTTCCCCTGGCCAGGCTAAGAACCATCCAGATCCCTGGCCATTATGATTAATTCAGGATGGAGAATGTGACTGTCCGTGGCTAAGAACCATGCCTGGGACTATTGCTGACATTTTTGAGAGGGAGACATTCTCTTTGGCTTTGCTGATAGGTAATCTGAATCTGTTGGAGAATGAATCTAACACAACACACACACACACACACACACACACACACACACAGATTCATGGCAATATCTAAAGCACCTGAATGTATCTACCTGCTATCCACACTTTTTTTTT